AACCCAAAGGGGACAAAAAAAAGGTTGAAAAAAAAAAATTTAAAAAAAAAAAAAAAAAAAAAAAAAAAGGAAAAAAAGAAGGTAATAACAAATGAAACAAAGAGTCTTAGACTGTATTGTGGTGGGCTCCAATAAAGTGATGCTTCAAATCTCTGAGTAATGACTGCTAGCATGAATATACCATTGTGCCGGAGGGGAGAAAAATGCTTTTGATGTGCTACCAAATGGAGACTTTTGTAAACAAGTGGAGCACAACTTAAATGTGTTCATCATTGTCAAAGCTTTTGGGGTTTTTCACGTGCATAAAGAACATCCTGGCGCAGTTTGCAGGAAGCCGCTCATTTCAAATAAAAATATTATGAATAGACAGATAATAAAACACACAAAATGCATAGGGTTTTTTTTTTAAAAAAAAAGAACCCCAAATCATTCCATTTTGTAACTACTTAATTCTCTGAGTGGCCAGGAAAGGCCGCAGATCAATAAAGTGTTTGTGAAAGACTGAAAGGAAACATAAACCCCAATTCTTCTGGCTGTTTGGCGTCTTTGTAAACTTTGAGCCGGGCAGGCCATCCACAAGACCATGGGAATGTAGAGCGAATTGGGTCCTTTGTTAGCGGGGGTGCCATGGCGTTACATGTATCACAGCCCAGGAATGCAGCCTCCGCTTTGACTGCCGATAGAGAAAATGCATTCGGCCTCCAGCAGAGCTGCCAAAGCTGGCGAGAAAAGATAAGGAAAGTCATAATTGCCCTTGGAGAATATATTCAACTGGAGCTCTTCAGGAGCTGGGATTGATACTGGCGAGGAACACTAAATGAAATAAACTTTCATTAAAAAGGAAAGAAAAAAAAAAGGGGGGCAGTGGGGGGCTCTACCTCATCCACAGTTTTGATTTTGGGGGCATCCTGCAAACTTTTACCTCCCACCAGGAGCTGGCTGGTGTCCCCACCAGCAGTCGTGGCAAGCAGCGATTCCCTCTGGCAGCCACGTTTGACATTAATAGGGTTGGCTGGGGTTCAAGATAACGCTAGCACGTCGAGAGGGGAGGCATGCTGCACAAAAACCAGAAACCAAGCTTCGGTGCAACTCGTCTCCCAGAAAGATTCTCCATTATGGGGAGAGAGGAGTTGATTATAAATATCAATTATTTTGCCCCACCTTTGGTGCAAAATAATTGATATTTATAAGCCACGGGGAGGTGGCTCAGACCTGCTTCACAAAAAAAAAAAAGTCTGGCAGAGTGAAAAATGTACCCTGGCCATTTATTACAAACACACAGCATGACAAAGACTGTCTCTCCTCCCTGTGATGGGGAGAGAGAGAAGTGGATGGGGGGGGAACCCAACCCACACCATATAGCACCATCCCTTAAAGACCCTCTTCCTCCTGCATACATTTGTCCTTGCTACTGGCATTGAGACAATCCTTGGCAATTCTTTCGCATTGTGCCACCAATAATCAGAAACCCACATCTTCAGCCTCACTGTCTGACTTGAAGAACAAAAGGCAGTTTTCAGTCTTAACCCCAAGATCTGATTTAAAAGGGGAGGGAAGGAGGGGGAAGACCTTGACCATTCATTAACAACAATTTTTTTTTTTTTTAAGGGAGAAAAAAATTCTTTGCGCACAAAGCAGTACTCCAGATACGTATATGGAGCCTGAATTCAACATCTTTGAGCAGAGTAAACCTTGGGGAGGGGGGGGGAAATAAAATCATGAAAAGGCACTGGAGATTAACACTGTTCATTCAGGAAAGCTCCAACCCCCCAACAGTTTGTTTGAAACAAAGTATACCCCTGTCTAATTGGTGTACAATTGTGTCAGGAATAGAGGGCAAAATAATTTAAAGATAGTTAAATGGGAGAAAAGAGTACAATTCAGTCATTATTTCATATGCTGCAATTTTAAATGGTACTTTGCAGAAGGAAGTACCAATTTTTTGGTCTCTTGCAAGTACCAAGTTTTTTGTCTCAAAAAAACCTACAAACTTTACATCCCAGTTTGGAAAAGCTTTACGTAAGTGACTTACATAGAGACCAGCTAACACATATGCATGCATATTTTATACGCACACGCACCCAAATTCATATATACGTGCAGCATTTGTTGCAAGTTCTCCCATTCAACTATCTTTATTTTGCTAGGTTCAAAATCTGGTTTTGATGCGTAATAAATCATAGCCATAACTTAGTACTTAAACCCACGATGCAAAATAGCATCGAGCCCATGCAGGTGGGTTGGGTTTTTTTTTGTTGTGGGGTGGTTTTGGAGGGATTTTTTTGGGGTGTTGTTTTTTATTTATTTCTTTAAACTTTTAAACACACACACACAGAGGGTATTTGTGACATATGCCCTGTCCCAAACACCAGATCTATTTAATTTAATTTGCCTCAAGTGGCAAAGTGAGATAGAAACCAAAATCTGGAACATAACCAGCACTTGTTCAGTTATTAAACTGTCTCAAGAAAGCACATCTTAAGTTTTCAGTATCTGTACTCCACTGCAAGAATCAACCCAGAGTGCAAGAAGCAAGCAAATACTGCCAACAAATGTAACAAAGCTTAATACCATACTTAAGTAATGAGTAGGCAAGAAGCCCCTTGGGGAGGAAGCGCTACAAGAAGAAAGCTTTGCTTCCGACCTGGAATCGTGTTTATTTATTTTGTCTTGTTTAATAATCTTAATTATTGTATGCAGTCCCTGATCAGTCTCGTGTGACAGGGCTTGCTGGCTTCCAACAAGGTTCGTTTTTAGCTGCATACCACCTACAGCAATTAGCTGCTTGTGCTTTTGTCTGTTTTCTGGCATTATGCCCTTCCCTTTCATGGGATTCCTCTTTTCTACTTGGACTAGATGTTTGCAAGTCTCCTGGCTTTGAGCTATTTCAGCAACAATTGTAGCTGAAATACTTAATATTCTCATGAGAAAGACGGCTGGGAGGAATGGGGAGGGGGGTGTCAGCCTCCCAGAGAATGACTTGGAAACCCAATTTAGTGTCACATTTAACTCCCTATATGGAATACACAGGCAAAAAAAACGCCTTCTGAAAATAATACCCTGCACACACCCCGTTGGCACGGGCAGCGAAGTGAAAAGCCAGTGCACAAAACACAGGAAAACAAGTTCTAAGATTTAAATAAATCTAGCCTGAAATGCCAATTATCAGCAATTTCCCTTTTTTTATCTTGCAGCTTAATGAAAGGAAAATCCTTTCTTTTAACCATCTTTTTTTTTCCACGAGTGGGATGGGAAGAGCACCACAGCCTTGTCAGTAGCGGCAGATACTTTACATGTGCACTTCATCACACATTAACTGGAGTGAAGCGACTGCTCCCAAAGGATGCTCGTTCACAGATAAATCAAGTCTCCTGGAAAAGGAGCACAAATGAAAACATTTAACATCTATTGCCCATGCTCCCAAAACATGATGCATTGCCAATTCTGCTGAGCCTTGACCCAAGGTAGAATTTAATATTTCAGTCTAAATTTCATATATCGAATAATACCATTTATAAGCACGGAAGAGAATAACTAACAGGAGGAAGAGGATGGCAAAAGCACTCGCACAGCGTCACGTAAGGCCTATCAACGTTTCAAAAGGATGGTGGCCACATGCCAAATGAACTGTTTAAAAACAGATTCAGACACATGTCCCATTCAATTTTTTTAATGTAAAATACAGGCCCACAGCTTTTCCCAATGCTCACCCCGGCTGGCAGGGAGACTCCCAGGCTGCCGAGCAAGAAAACCGGCTTCGGGAAGGACAGCTATATGGTGATAACAACGTATAAGGAGTAGTATGGAAAAAACAGCTTGCACACATGCTTGCTCCAGCAAGAAGAGACGCTCCAAGCCTACAAGCACATGGCAGCTCCATCCTCCTAAAGCTTGCAGCAACAGAGGTCACTGGCACAACAGAAGTCTCATTTAGTTAGAAATTAACGTGAGCTGCAAAAGGTGTGCTGTAGACACAGATGTGGAAGGAAAAGATAGCCATCACAGACACCTAAAAAACCTGCTATAGCTCAGCACAGCCACTCACAAAAGCCATTTAGGTGGGGGACACAACATACTCACATGCAGTTTTAAGCCATATTGCCTTACCCATAAAGATATTCCACTCTGTGTCCAAGTCCCCTTGGTTGGCCAAGCAGCCTCTCATGACGTTAAAGCAGTAGTTGTAACAGGGCTTCACCGATACCAGACCTCGGCAGTATGGGCAGTACATCATCTTCAGCAGTGCCCGTGTGCCCTGCGGCGTGGGGTTCACCTTTACAAGAGAAAAAGGGGAAAGGAGAAGAAAATTAGCCCTTGGTCACTAAAGCAAAAAACCCTGCACATTTACCCCAGAGTGGGTGGGAACAGAGCTGTGCAGAGGAGATGCAATGGCGTCAGCCACCGCTGTGCGGTCAGAGCTCCCCAGTATCTGGGGAGCAGATGAAGGGGTTTGGCTCACCTCCTTGGGTGTACCTGCCACTCCAGGGGTCACAGCCAGTCCCCCCCCTCTGCAAAACATTATATGCACTGCAATATACCCAGAGAAAGCTGCCTGGTATTGTGGGACCCCTCCCTGGGCTGCAAGGACAGGCACCCCAAGAGGACGTGAAGCATCGGAGATTAGGGAAGGGACTAAAAGGCCACCAAGCCAAAAGGTGTAATGCAAGGCTGCGTTATCCAAGCCCCACTGCAAACACACGCCGAATAAGATGATGCCGGGATTTCTCAGGAAAAAGCGGCCAAGATGGGATGCCTGCCACCATCCCCGCACCAAACCCATGGGGAGCATGCCCTCCTCCTCAGCGGTGCTGTGGCTAGGCTCTTCCCGGACAATCGCCCAGCAGGGCTCGCCGGCAGAGAGCCCGGCTCCTTTATCCTACATTCAACTCCAGCAACACAGCATTTCCATGACAGATACCCTGGTTCATTTACACTCAGCACCCATCACGCTGTCATTCCCCACCCCCGAAGGATGTGGCAGCTACAGCCCCGCAGCCGAGGACAAGCCGGGAGGACCCTCGAAGGCAATGTGCAACCGCTGGGCATGCAAGCAGAGCTATCTGCAGCAGGCACGTCACCTCCTGAGCCCTCAACAGGGCTATTTTCCAAAGTGACTCATGGTCATTCATGTTTGATTCACTCTTTGGCCCAGCTTCAAAACATTCATTGAAACCATTTCCACCCAGCTGTTCTGAGGAGCATTAGCTCCAGCACCACGTACTAGTGCCGACCACGTGGTGGGTCCGTCAAAGCACTAAACACAGAAGCTCCCTCAAGAGCAAGTTTAAGTGTTAATTAGCCACACATGAAAATGGAAAATTAAGATGTGATCAGAGATACACTGACAAAATAGAAGCGGTCTCTGGTGTTTTAGCAATGCCCTTGAGACTTCTTGTAAGGCGTTTACGGAGAGCGCTCTAAATAGATTATGATCCAAGACTGTGCTGAAGGAGGAGACACACACACGGCCCCGAGGAAGAGAGGAGTCATTCAATACAAATGGCTGGAGATGTGGATGGCCTCCACGTCTCATCTGCTGGGGGTCTGGAAACTGATTTCATCGCAGAGAGGATAACAGGACTGAACAGAGATGAACGTACGCGGGGAAGACCTGGTACTACACATACACTGAGGACCTTACTATTGTGAAGCCCATCACAGCACGAGGGCTATGGAGAAACTGAACATGACCTTCTGGTGCAAAAACTAGTTGGCAGCCCATGAAACTAGGAGGCAAGAGATTTTAACAAAAACAAACCAGAAAACAAAAAAAAACCCACTACATAATCAGGCTGGCTTTGTTAATAACATCAGCAAATTTTTAAATCCTCTTTTCTTACAAAAAGAGATGACAGACAAAAATCTGTTGTCTTTCCATCAACTCCATAAAGACCACGGTTTCTCTTCAGTGGGCAAGGAAACTGGGTAGAAAGACAGAAGGACTATTTTCTGCAGCTGATGGAGCTCAGTGCTGGATTTCAGCTGGCCAGCAATGTACATTCAGACATCAGTTTACCCCTCCTTTGTCATCTTTACCCCTCTTTTGTCCACAAGGAGCCTGTTTGGCTAAGCAAAAGGATGCTCGATGTAGAAAGCTGTTTGCGGTGGTGAGGGAATCTGACTCAGATGCTTCAGAGCATACATACATACATACATATCTATATATATATATATTTATATTTGGAAGGCGCAGCAGGAGCAGGAGCCTCAGCAGAAAGCTCCCTATTGGGGCAGCATGGCTTTAAAGCAGAGCTAGTTCAAACACTGGGAAGAGCTCAAGCAACAGAAACCAGCTAAATCAGATGATTTATAGTAGGAAAACTGAAAACAGACAAACGTAAAGGTATCATCTGCCATCCAGATGGTGCAGTCCTTGCATAACAAAAAAGTTGGGGGGTGGGGAAAGAGGGAACTAAACAACATCTAACACCCAGAGAGAGAGCCCTGAAGGATGCCCCAGTTTAGTAGTTTCTCTGATAAAAATCTCTTCCCATGACACTTGGTGGTAGGTGCCAGGACCTCCGCACCTAGTCCTGAGGCCTGTCAGCTGATCCCAGCTGTCCTAGCACTGCTGGTCCTCAAAGAAGCGCTCTGCGTCCTCCTCGGGAAGAAAATTAGGAAAAGGTTGATAGCACCAGCCAGGTGCTAGAGCAGCTGGAAGCGGGACGAGGACCAGGAGACTTCCCCAATGCTATCATGGAAAGCTGCAGCTTTATGAAAGGGAGTGCATGGCACAGCGTGCTGCAAAAAATCACCCGCACAGCAGTGGCCCGGGAGGCACCTTCCCATCTTAGGTTCCCGGCTCGCCCCGCATGGCTGCAATCCTGCAGCATCCGCCCCGCTTTGATATTTCATAGGGGTTGATCTTTATGAATCCCAGCAGATGCAGGGGAAACTGAAGCCGCTTTCCCGCGTTCCACAGCGGACAACGTGGGATGGTCACTTGAATCAGGTCCTTTGAACAAAGACCTGGATGGTTTTAAAAGCAAAGGGGGTTTTGCTTCCTTCCCTATGTAGGTTTGCGGCTCTGAGCCCTACACAAATCTGAGAAAACGGGGCGACGAAAAGAAACCCCAGCCTGCAGTGACTGCCAAACCAAACCCTAACTAGCGATGGACGTAACCCACGGGGAAGCTGTTAGTTTGCAGTATAGTCGCAGGTGAAGAGGAAGACAAAAGGGGAAATTCGTCAGTCCAGATTTGGCATTTTATGGTGTCAGAAAGCAACAGGAAGGCACAAGCAGAGATCAGCTCTAAGAGAGAGTTTCAGGGAAGATTATGAGCAATTACACCTCATTACAACAGTGATAAATGCTTAACTGCTGTGTATCGCTGCAACGAGAACCTTAACCCCTGGCAAGGGGCCCGTACCCGGTCCAGACTGACTCTGGATCTGTCAGTGGGCTGTGCCATATGTTGCACTGGCAATTCTTCACAAGCTTTTAATGTTCGCTCTGCCACACCAGGTGCAAGCTCTTAAAACACCATTGTATGTAACAGTAAACCCAGATATGCTTTGTTCTGGGGTTGTGTTTATCTTGGAAAGCAACTCAAGTTCATTCAAACTCTACTCTAGAATGACCCTCAAAAACCAAATAATCTCCTTTCTAATAAAGCAGAGTCCCAAAGAAAGCTTTATTTGCTGAAGAGGATTTACTCTAGTAGATTTGAGCCCAGGTAGTAGTACGCTGTAGTGCACATACCCTGTAAAAGCTTATAAAAGAAGTAAATGGACTCCAATCCCTTCCTTTTATCTTGTGAAATTTATTTCCTTTCCATGGCGTTCCACGCCACGCCACGGCAGCAATCCATCACCCTGCGGTTTCATCATGTAAATTACAATTTGTCCATGTCTATACGCTTTGTCAAACGTGAAGATTAAAAGCTGCTAACAGATGTGTTTTGGCACCAATCTTCACATTCGTATCGAACTTACTCCTTAAAAACACAGATTTGCACACAATCCACAAAATTTAAGGGAAAAGCAAACAGTTCTGGGCTTAATCCAAATGTTTCATATCATATATGTAGAGGTACCCCCAACTTACATTTACTGGTGAAGACGTTCTTGTAAAAATGACATGCTCTTGGTAAAATAAAATCTGTTTTTTCTTGGTACCTTGTCATATCCATCCCATTTCAGAGTCTCACATAAGGGAAA